CAGAACTGCAGTCCTGCCAGCTCATTCAGATCTCACCTCCCAGCACACTGCACACACATGAAAACGCCCTGCAGTCAAAGGAATTCCCCCCAGGAGCTGCCTCTTGGCACAGACTGTGTTTTTAAAATCATAATAATCTATACAGAAGTAAATACAAAGCCAACAAGCAGAAGTGACACAGCAAGCATTACAATTAACAAACTGGCAAAGATCTTCCTTTCACTTCATTTAAACTGATAGCCAGGAAAAGTGAGCAAAAAGCTTCACTCTGTGCAGGAGACACTCAGAGCAAGGCCTGCTCCCCACAGCCTCCGACTGTTGCTCACCTCACATCCCTCAAGGTTTCAATGCAAACCTGAAGACCAAAGAAATAAAAAACCAACCTCCCACCACAACCAACTATTCAAAGCCCAAACTGAAGTTGCCTTGAGAAGGATACTGACAAACACAAATGTTGCAAGAAGCACAGTAAACAACTTCAGAAAATTTCACTACAAATCGAAGCTCAAACCACTTCTGCATAATTCCCAAATTATTCTTTGACAATCAAACAGAAGCAGCTGCACTCCTAGGTCATGGCAGCTAAGTCAGAGCCTTCCTTCATGAACTGAAAGAGAACAGCAAGCAAGCAACAAGAAAAAGCTAACATATGTTAAGAATTTAAGTGCTCCCTTACAACTGGATTTTGCCCGTCACCAATTTCTAGGAAGTTATTCTGCAACATCTTTGGACTTTCTCTCAAGTCACTTCCTGTGAAAAAAACAAATACAGTTCCTAAGGTGATACAAACCTGCAGGCAGTGTTTGCTTGCATTCTTCTCAAAGAGCTGCCTCCTTACAGCACCTTAAAGGAAGATGTTAACTCCACCTTTCCTTTCACATTTTCTTCTAGTTAAAATAGAAGCGTTCTTTCATACTGTTTTTAATGCAGCTCCAGTAAGACAGGAAATCTTACTTTGCTATTCTACCTCGTAAGATAACTCACCGTGTCACATCTGAGATGAGCATCATGCTATTCCTCTAGAGCAGGAATCAAAGCTAAGCCTGGACTGGGGAGAAATCAGTCGGCAGGAGGATACAGGAGTTGTGTATTTGGAATTCTTTAAACAGACTGGGGGGGAAAAAACAGTACTTCAACTGCAATTACCTTCTCAATACAAATGCTCATACAATAGAAAGGCAGTGACATTAAATCCAAGTTCCAGGCATTTCTGGAAAGTTCCAGTTATATTACCAGGGACAGTAGTCATCTTTATTTACTCAGCAAAGGGAAACAGCATGGCTTCAGAGTAGCTATGGCAATAGGCAGACAGACCTAAATGTAAGTGATGGGCAGCAAAGCAATCACGAAGTGTCTCTTCTAAAATGAAAGACTGTAAGCAGTGACAAACACTAACACACAGCTTAACTGCAGCATTAATCACTTCCACGACAACTCAAAAAAAAATTATAAGGCTTTGTCACATTTTGTGGCTTGTTGGATTTTCCTGTTCAGGGACAAAAATATATGGACTATCTTTCACTTCTTCAAATGAGCATTTGATAATAGCCTGTGATATATGCCAAAACATCCCATACATGTGATCAATCATTAAACACAACTTATGTCTCAAGATATAGATTTAATCAGTTTTTACGTAAATATACAAACACCTCTGGAAATGGGAATTTTAATGCAAAACCCTGAGACCAGTGGAAGACAAACTCATTATGCAGCCCAACTTGTAAGTTACACCTTGCAATCAATAAAAAACACTGACTTTTAAATAAATTGAGGAATTTCTAGCAAATGGTAACAGCTGCCAGATACTCTAGGGGACAAGGAAAAGAAGTTTTAGAGGAAGAGAAAGCAGAGACTTGGTTTCTTATAGCTGCTACAAGAGTAAACCTTCCCAACAACATCAGCCAAAAGAACAGAAGTATCCCTCTCATTACATTCAATTTTCTTTCATCTTTCTCCCATTTTCTCTGGGAAATCTCCACACATGCACGCCTGCACAGCTCCAAAAGTACCAGAAAACAAATGAAGAAGCCAGCAGCTGGCCAGTGGCACTTGGCTTTATCCTAATGATCTCAAGCAACAAGGCACCAGGACAGCAGTACAGGTCCAGCTCTGCAATAACTGCTCCACAGCAGGAGGCATCAAAGCAGGAGCGAAGCTCCCAGCACAGAAGGATCTCAGTCAGTTCTCTCTGGTGCACAGGAGGGCAGCCAGGGGATTTGGAAGGCACCAGAGAGAAGCAAAATACCCTGTACAAATAATTAAAGTAAGAACTATGTATAACAAGCTACAAATACAAAACCTGCTGTCAGAGAAATACATTATGGAATTGAAGAAAATATTCAGTATCTGCATATTTACATCACAGGCACCTCCATTCTCCTTTATAATACTTTGCCAGGGTTCCAAACACATTCATGTGAATTAGAATCAAGCCCCAGCACATTCTTCAAATACACCTCACCCTGCAAGCTTTTTCTCACTCCAGTCAATGAACTCCCAGTGCCAAACAAGGATGAGGACACGGGCAGGAGGCACAGGAAGCAGGGCACCCTGAGTCACCTGAGTCATCTCCTCCTCTTATTTCTGCCTTTTCCTCTTCCTTTCTGCCAGGAAGCAGAAGTTCCATATGTGCCCAATCCTAGAAATACCAAGCTTCAGTATTTTAAAGCCAACAGGGGTACATGACCCCCCCATAATCTCTTCAGAATATGCTGCAGAACCTTCAGACTGACCACTAGCAAGTTGCTGATGCTAAACATAAGACTGCCGATGGCCACTCTATATCCATTTGGTTTTGTACCAACATTGTCTTCAGGCCAAAAAAACCTTCCTTCACTCATTTACAGAGAGCAGCCATCTCACCTCTCAGTCTTCATTTTACTTCACTAAATAATTTGAGCTTTTCCTCATCCCTTCTCACAAGGGTCTGTGCCCTGGAGAAGAACAGAGAAGCAGCCAAGATCACTCGCACCAAAGCGACAGGTTTGTGTACTCTGGAAGCAGAAGAGTGGCTGGAGACTCAGGGCCAAAATTCCATTAAGTCAGGAACAAAGCTCTACAAAGCATTCATGTGGTACTCAAACACCTCTACTGTTTATTTCAACTGCTGAGCAAGAGGAAAAATTACTGAGCAGATAATCAATCACCTTACAGATTTTTTAAGAAGTAGAAAACCAAAACTTTTTCAGCTTTATTCCAAAGCCATTTCCAAATTCTGAAGCAATTATTCTTAAAGTCTTTCACAATGAGGATGTAATATCTGCAGGATGAGATAAACTAATTCTGGCTGTGTATGGACAACAGGCTACTGGAGCTGCTTCTTCACTGAGCTGTTTTTTAAAGATACTTGATACAACTCTAAACTTGGCAAAAGCCAGGTACAGGTCTAATGCATAACAAAAAGCAGAAGCTCAGGAGATGCATATACCAAATGAATTAACGCACAAAACAAAGTGCAGCAAAACAGCCCATCAGTGCAAACACAGCCCAGTACTCCCATGAGTCTCCCTAAGTTTCCAACGTTATCAGACAGTAAAAACAATTAAATAAGACAACATTCACTGTTTGAAGAGATATTTAAGAACCATAGCATTTAATACAGTATGCCTTCTAATTCACTTTTGGTAGGAAAACAAGAAAATGATAGGTGTATCGCATTTACTGCATCAGAAAACAACATGCAAAAGGGATCCCTGAAAATGAAATCAACTTATCCACAAATGCCTTGAAGAAAGTCACCTAGAAGGTACTATACAGATGAATATGAAAATAAGACCTTTTTGCCTGTTGATGCAGAAGAAAACCCGCATAATATTTCAGATTTATTTCTTGGATACAGTTGGGAATTCCTGCCACGGGAGAGTTTTTGAAGAGCTCATCCTTCAGCTCACCATCAAAAGACTTTGGTAGAAGTGCCACAGCTGGAGCTGCTAGATACTGAGTGCGCTCTGCGATGCTCAGGTGGTTAAGTAAGATCTGAGCCTGCCTGAAAACGTGGCAACAACAGCAGCACACGTGGAACACTTTCAGCATGAGCCGTGCACATCTCCCTGCAGTTCTGCACTGTGTTCCCTGACAGCAGAACATAAGCACATCAGAACGCAGCTTGGGTATCCAAGGAGCTCACCATACAGGGGAAGGAATCTGTTCTTCCACACACACCCACAGCTCACACCTCTGTTACCAGGAAGCCCATCACTAAAAACCCACTAAAAGCCCATCATTAAAAACTAAGTGAACACTGATCCACCAAGCTCACGGAAACTCCTTTTGTAACAAATACCGTGCGGTGCTGACACCGGCTGCAAAACCAAAGCCTCAAAGTAACCCTGACCCACCAGCCCTGCGAGCAAACAGAGCAGTTCTGCACTCCCTGCCCTCCTTCCCTGCTCAAAGCACACTGGTGGTTCGCTCAGAGCCCAGGTCCTTTCTCTCAGCACACAACGCTTACCCGTGTTACATCCAGGAAAGCTCAAAGGCGTTTTCTCCCAACACTCCCCCTGACATACTCAGCGTTACGCGCTAATTACTGGAAGATTTACTCAAATTAGCGCTGGTTTAGCTTAAAACCAAGGAAGGAAAAAGAAACCCACACTTTCCCTACGGATCTGTGACTCCCGATGCACACACCTATGAAAAATACACTGTTAGAAGCGTAGGATTTGGCCCTTCGTGTAATTATATAACCTAAGAACGTGACAGACCCCATTACCGACACAGAGTTCCGTCCTCCCGCTCACCTCACGCACCCGCCCGGCTCTGCTCTCCGCCCCGACGCCGCCCGCTGCCCGCCGAGGAGCCCCGCGGCAGCTCAACGCGAGGGGCACGGCGCGGCACGGCACAACACGGCGCGCTGCTGGAGCCGGGCCGCTCCGGGCGGGGGAGCCGCAGGGAAGGAGCGGCGCCGCAGCCCCTCAGCGCCCCAGGTTCGAATCCCGGGAGGAGCGGCCGCGCCCGGCCCCTCAGCGAGCACCCCGCCGGCCCCGGGTTCCACTCACTCGGCAGAGCTGGTCCCGTTGACGGCGGAGCCATCCGGAGCGGGGTTGAGCTGGATCGGCCCCGGCTTCTTCTTGGGCATGTTCCCCCCCGGCCGGCGCAGATCGTGACGGACGGAACGGCCGCGGCCCCACTTCGGCCAGGTCCGACGGACTTCCCGAGGCGAAGCAAACTTCGGGGCCGCCCCTCAGCGCCGGAGCAGCGCGGGGCCGCCTCCCCAACAAGGAGCCGAGGCCACGACGCCGCCGCCCCGGCGCAGCGCGGCCGTCGACCCGCCCGGCGCCGATCTGCCCGGCGGAACGGCACCGAGCTCCGTACCGACAGCTCCCGACGGAGAAAAACTGCCCCGGCTCGAAATGCGCCCTTCCCCGGCACTGCGGCTGCGCGCACCGCCCGGGCAGAACGGCGCGCAGGCGCGGGCAGCGGGCGCGTGTGCACTGAGGGCGGTGAAGCCGAGCCGATGCCGTGCCCGCACCGCGCTGCCCTGAGCCGCGAGGCTCCGCACCGCCCGCCGTGGCTGCTGAGCTTTTACACAGCGCAGCGCGGCGGGCGCGTGCCCCGATTCACGCGTTCCGAAGCTCGGTGAGAGTCTGGGCTCTGTCAGTGAGAATTCTGCCAGCGGTGTCGTGTCCTCCACGGAGAAAAGCACAGTGAAGGGATGCGTTGTGAAGCACGTCCCTTATTTCTCTCATAGTCGTTAATAGACCCGAACTGCCGTACTTAGAATTACAGCCTTCACTTCAGGCATGCGGAACGGCTGCTTGTTTTTCTCCAAAGTAAATCTTTGAAGCAAAAAATTGGAAAAAAGGGAGATTATAGTTAAAGAATAAATAAATAGCCAAACGAGTAGGGAAATGAATTACAGAATCACAGAATGGTGCAGGTTGGAAGGGGCCTCAAGGATCATGAATCTCCAACCCCACTGCCACAGGCAGGGCCACCAACCCCCATCTATTACTAGACCATATGAAATGCCAAATATTTTTTCTTTACTTCCGTGGTCTGTGTGCTTACAGCTGCTGCTGTTAGGGATGATCGGGGTTGGCCACAGGAGTCTTCCATGCCTTGATAGGATGCTGACTTCAGGTGTCTCTGTGAAGCTGTGCGTGGCTTCCCCTGAAATATTTTAAGTCCATTTGAATTTCTGTAGGACCAATAGGTTCAACTGGTGTGCTCGCAATGGAAAAATAAGCCTGTTTTCCAGCACAGAACAAAAGGGGTTTGGGGAGTTCAGACGTTCTTGGTGAAAGGGGAAGGCAGTTCTGAAGGTGGATCACACAGGAAAAGGCAACAAATGTAAGGTGGTGTAATCTCTGTGCATGGCTTCTGAACAGGGAGACTTCCTGATTTATTGATTCTATCACCACTGGGAAAAATAGAACCGAAATGTGTCCCTGTAAACAGAAACAGGTCAAAAAAAACTTCTTCTCATTACCACTTTTCTTTCAGAACTGGAGTACAAGCTCCTGCCTTGTGTCCTGCTTCTTGCATAAGAAGGAAATTTAAGATGATCAAATAATTTACAATTTATATGAGGTTAACAAGGTAAAAATCACCAACATCTTAATTCAGATAACACAGCAAAATCTGATTCCCCACCACACACCCGCACCAACATACCCATTTTGCCAAGGATTTATTGGATGGGGAGCACTTTTACTGCACAAACAGGAAAAAACCCTTCAGATGTAGAAATATCCAATCACTCATTTTGCAAATTTTCTCTCCCATACATCAAGTGTAGCATAAAACAGACAAAGAGACAAAAATATAAAATAAGGAGCAAGTTTCCTGCAGTTTTTCCACTGCAGTGCACACAGAAATGAACAACATCTCAGCAGCATCTAAACCAGAAAACAGAAGTGTTTTCTAGAACCGAAGCAAGTATTTTCTCTGACTTACTATTCCATCAGCATGTGGCCACTTATTCACTTCCTGGGGAAAAAGAAACAGTCATCACCGCCTGCTGGAACCGCTCCTCACCCGACTGGAAGCACAGGAGTGGAAAGTGCCACCCAGCACAGCCGCTAATTAGACTTATTGATTATTCCATTCAATGAATATGGGAGGTTATGTAACACTGTTCTCCTCCACAGAGATTTTAAATCATCCTCTGCTTTAATCCATGTAGCACTTTTTATACTTTGCGGATATACACACACACACCAAACACATTTGCTTCATGTCATTGTCAGGCTCGGATGTATCACGGACACCTTGTTGTTAAATATGTTTTAATATAAAGTGATTATCATGTTCAGCACAACACCCTCCAAATGGCCCCAGGTTTCCCTTAATTTTATGACATATATTTTTATGGAGTTGGAAGTTAGCAGTACCTGATGTACAGCAGTGTGTTTGTGCGCTTATTTCTGCATGCTCCAACCATCTGAGGAAACTTCTCAGGTCAGCCCAACAGATTCACGAATACGAGAGATGCTCGCATATTTAGGAATACACATTTCAAACCCAGTTAAAATCACTCCGACTAGAAGGAAAATGCATTTATTAAATAAATAGATTTTGACTTAGTCCTATTAGAGGGAATAATTCAAGCACCTGAATCGTTACCTGCGATGAACTCAAGGAAGTACAGGAGAAAACCAAAGCTCTGTCCCCAGGTACGGTACCACCACACAACGCAGCCCCGCCCCGCTTTTACCTCAGCCGCGCGGCTCCGCCCTGTGGATTTGGCGCCAAAAGCGGCGCAGCGCAGCTGCCGCACATGCGCCCTGATCCTAGCCAGCCAGCAGCCCTGCTCAGCTCGGCTGTGAGAGATCTCGCGAGAGCTGCGCGCCGTGGCCTCCCGGTGGGGTGGGAGGCGGGAGTGGCGGCCCGGCTCCGTGTGGCGCTGGGTGACTTCGTCCGGCTGTGCGCGGAGCTCTCGGCTCTCCGCCCTCCGATTCAGGCGTGAAGTCCCTTAATCCGGTAGGAAGGGAAGAGCCGTCAGGGCTGGGGGCGCGAGCGGAGCGGGATCTCAGTGGCGGCCGCAAGGTGCGGCTGCGGGGGTCGCGCCGCGCGGTCCGGCCGTGCCCGGCTCCCATCGGATGTCGGTGCGGACGGAGCTGCACGGGCGGGCTGTCTGCGAGTCCGTCTGTGGAGAGCTTGTCCTTAAAACTGCTTCGTGCTCAGGTTGCGAGGAGCCCGGGGCGTCGTGAGCCTGAGAGGAGACCTCCGGCCTGCGGGTTGAAGGGATAAGCTGTGAGTCGGGGGCCTGCAGCTCGGCGGGTTGCGGTCGCGAATGTGTGAGCAGAAAACAGCTGTCCTAAAAGTGCTTAGTATGAAATGCTCGTGTCCGTGTGTGTGTTCTTACAATGACCCACAGCCGCCACTCCCAGGTAACGAAGTGTGAGAAGCCCGTAATTTACTTGGCTCAGCAGTACTGGATTGTGTCATCCTCCTGCATAGTATCTGCTGCTTAATTTATATAACCTGCTTTCTGGTTGCCAGACCTTCCTTTGGAACAGCTGGCTCTCATATAGCTAATATTTGTCTGCTTCTGTGGCAGTTATTTTTTTTGTCTAATTCTTAAACGCTTCTGATATTTCACAGACTCATTAAGGTTTGAAAAGACTTCCAAGACTCCCAGATCCAATCCCAACTCACCCCCACCGTGGCCCTGACCACATCTCCACTGTTGTGGAATTCTGGAATGGCTCCAAGCACAGTGACCCCTCCCCTCCCTGAGCAGTCAGTGCCACTGCCTCACTGCTCTTTTGTAAAAGAAACATTTCCCACTATCCAATCTGACCCTTCCCTGGTGCAGTTTAAGTACATCGCCTCTCATCCTACTGCTGTTACTCAGGAGCAGGATCCAGCTCCCACTTCATCACAACCTCCTGGTAGGAGTTGAAAAGAGTGATGAGATCTCCCCTGAGCCTGCTCTCCTCCCAGACTGACCTATCCCAGTTCTCTCAGCCCCTTTTCGTTTCCTACAGGAGAAGGAAGAGAAGTTAATCCATGGCCATGATAGATCCTCTGGAGAACAACTTGTTTGATCTCCCTGATTATGAGAATACAGAAGATGAAACATTTCCACCTCTCCCACCTCCTGGGTCTCCAGGAAATGATGCTGAATGGGCTCAAGCTAATGGAGGTGAGAATCCTGTGAACCCTGAAGATTTTTCAGTAGAGAATGGAGTGCTGTGAGATCAGTTTTGTTGGAGTTCTACTTCACTGCGTTGTGCTTACTACATAAAAATAACCTTAGATTAAAAAAGCAGTTAAATTGTTCTTGATCCAGCATATCCATACTTGTGCAAGAAGTTTACCTTTGTAGACTCAATGAAAATGTTTGCATGCGTGCAAGAAAGAATGCCAGTATTCCAGGGAGATGGTGGTAGTTGGGTTTTTTGGTTTTTTTGTTTGTTTTGGGTTTTTTTGACTAAGGCATGATAAAAGACTTTATATTAATTGTATTTGTGAAGTTCTTGGTGCAGTCCTGTGTGCGGAACAGGCAAGCAGAAGATATGTAATTCCTTGATGTAAGAAAAGGAGAGTTCTAACTCCTGGATGTCTGATGTTTAGAGTTGCAAAGTCTTAAACAAGAAATCAGTGAGACAGTAATTACTGGTTCTGAGGTGAGATGGATATTGGTGCCTTATCTACTGCAGTCAGAAGCACGCGTGTTAGCTTGAGTCAGAAAGTGAGTGGAAACTGATTCCTGAAAGGCTCATTTGTTGTTTTCATACGTAACCTCTTTCTCTGGTATTGGAGGGGATGCTGGAGTTTTGATTCTCCCAGATTTCAGTGGAAACTTTGGGAAACATAGCAACCTATTGAATTCTTCAGCTCTTAAAACTGGCAGTGTCTGCTCAATATATTTTCATCAGGAATACAAAAATTCTGAGACTAAGTTCCTTACAGTAGAAGTTTTCCTTCTGCTAGAGAAGTTCATTCTTCAGTATCCTTTAGAGACTTGATTGACTCCCTGTCAGTCTCCTGGGAGAATTTAGATGAAATATGCAGGCATTTGTTTGGAGTAGTATTGCAGTAGAGTGCTTGTGACAGTTATCCTTTTGGTAGGGTAGGATCCTAAGTTGTGTGATGTAATTCTAGCTGGTGCCATTTGTGCTGCATGCTTACAGTATGTTATTTTCTTTGTTAGATCCAGATGGGAACCAGCAATCAGAAACAAAGGATTCTTCTGCAGCTGTACGGAAAGCAGTTAAAAGATCAATACCCAAACTAGATGCTCACAGGTATTCTTGAACTTAATGTTTCTTTTCTTGATAGACTTGGTACATGGCTGTGATGTGGTAATTAAGGTTACCATGATCTCTGCTTTCTCATAGCCAAGTCACAAAGTAAGAACTTTGAGATTGAAGTGCTTGTTGCATGCTTTATCTCAACCTCTTTTTTTCCTTGCCTGCCTATATAATGCTGTTATTAGTCCTAACTTTGAGTTTTCCTTGGGACTTGGTACCTGGCTCACAACTTGGTTAACAGATTTTATTCCTGCATAGGACTCACCCAGCTGTATCCTCTTTGTTTTGTTTTGTGCCTTGTATTGTGGATTTCTTTACTTTATTTCAAGTGCACTTC